TGGGGCAGGGCCAGTTTTGCATGCCCAATCCTTGATCCTGAACTCAAATACCTCGTCCTGTCCCCACCCCTAAACCCCACCAAGGCTAGAAATCCCAACTCTATCCTCATTCCTATAAAAAACATAAATCCCTAAATTTATCGTGCACGCCCCAGCCATTCCTATTTGTAAACTTATTTTTATTTTATATTTTTTAAACTACCAAAGACTATATTATATCATGTAATGTAATATAACTGAGGCAGGTTTGGAGCTAGGGCTGGGGTGAACAAATATCATCCCCAGTCCCTAGAGTTTTTTAGTTTCCCCAAAACCCACCCTGACCAGGGCAAGGTGGGAGGGAGCCGCACGGGAATGGATCACATTGCCACATTAAGTGGGTCCTGCAACGCATCTTTTTAAACCTTTTCAAATGTCAGCCCACACTACTGACTTTCTACATTGATCCGGCTCAATCCTCAACGGCGCAGGCCAAAGTATCCCATTTATCAAACAACCTCTAAAAAAGTTTTTATTGATGAGTGCGGTCATATGGATGAAACCTATTATATTGCTTGGGACTTGGGATACCTCATGATATTGCTAAATTAATTTGATTGGATGGCTTTAGTTGAATGAATGTAGTTAGGGTGGATGACGAAATGTTTGAATGAATGGTATTTTGTATATATGCGCCACAAACCAAAACCATGGCCAGATACTGATAGTTTTATTCGCTCAAGTGCTGAGGACTGTTACGCCAACTGATCATCGTTTTATTCTACTTAATTAGTTACTAGCTAGCTAGTTAGGTTGAGATATCTAATTATGGCAAATTAGACCCGGATGGTTATAATATGGAATATTGGAACCATCCTCATTAGAAATCAAATCATCAACAATTTATCATCATATCTTCTCAACAGGGTAAATTTGTTGGGGAATGGTAAGGTGACACATTATTCAGCATTTTGGGCCCATGTTGCAAGATTTCAACCTCCACTTTTGTGGTGTAGCCAGACACAGCCTATGGGACTGTAATTAATCACAGAAGAGTAGAACACTACTTCTGTGTCAAACACAAAAGCGCCTTGTGTTTCAAAGGCTTGGTGTCACGAGGTCGGTAAGAGTTGTCAACAAATTCAGCACTTTGGATGGTTTTCCTTTTTTTTTCTTTCCTTTCCTTTTCTTCATTAGTACATAATACATCTTCAACCCCCCCAACGAAATCTGTACAGTAACTTTTATAAAATAATTTTCTAACTTTAATAAATTGCGAGGAAGAGGGGAGGGGAAAAGAGAAAAGTTAATCTTTTGTATCTAGAACCTGCTACGATTCTAAGGCCATAAAAAAAGCATCTAGATGCATCCAGATGTGACGAAAATGGTGCAATGAAGAAAAAGAAGAAAAGGTTGATTTTGATGTAATTAACATTCTTAGTTAAAAATCCCTTCTCTTTTTTTTTTGGGTATTGAAACGAAAAGGCATAACAAAATCCAGTTGGACGTGGCCAGTATACCTGATCAATTGGCCAAATTAGACAATTAATAATTAGTTGGTGTTGGTGTCAAGCTTCTCCTTTCATAACAAATCGCAGCTATCATACGAAAAGTTTTTTTTTAGTGTATATGATCGAATACTCAATAAAACAACAAAATAAGGTAATGTTATTAATCTTCCATTAGATGCATGGCATCCAAGAAACAGGACTCTTTATGTGATTTACATCTCATTCAGACCTGGCAAAGTAATCCAGCATCACCCTTCACCCACCACCTAAAAAAGTCGTCGGCGTCTCAGTCCGTAATCCGTGTCCCGCATCCTTTACAACCCACCAAAAGAATAGTAGGAGTAGAACCGACTTCCTCTCCCCAATCTCGCTCACCTTGTCGTAGAATACAGCATTAAAAGTTAACAGGAGAAGCTTCTCGGCAAGGAGGAGAAGTTGGAAGTGTTCAAGCAGCTAGCTTGTACACACATTCTAATCTTGGGAAAAAACTTCCCAGTCACCTGTTTTGAATCATGTTAATTTAAACCTTTTTTATTAATGAAGCTGTACGCTTGTACCTCTGTTCTCACCTCGAAGCCCAAACCAAGATCAGTTATATTTTGTCATAACCACAGTTGGGTCCAGCTTTAATTAGTTTTGATCAGGTCTACAATTTCTTCTCTCCCAAGGAGTAATGGCTTTAATAAATACGTCGGTTGGGTTTATTAGGTTTGTGACTGTGACTCCACTTTTTTCACTATTATATCAATATGCACCCATGACATTATCTCTTGTTCTTGCATACGGAGGTGTCCCGGGGCTGGGGCTGGAGTTTTATCGATCTTGTTAGGGGTGTAACTTGGGTGGGCCCAATTTCGAACTGGTCCAGCTAAAATTTTATATGGGATGGATTTAGATTTTCGATTTTCAAGTTGGGTTTAGGTTCAAGGAATCGGGTTTTTTTATTTTTTTGTTTAAGTCTAGCCCTTAGGTAGTTTGAATTCAGTCCGAGCCCAGTCCAACTATTCACATATTATATATAATTCTAAAGTAGGTTCATTGAACAAACCCAAACCGGGCTTGGGTTGCGAAAATTAGGTTTAATCTGGGCTTGAGCCTTAAGCCCAAATTTTAAGATCGAGCTCAGATTGACCATGAGTCCAATTCAACTCGCCCAACTTGCACCCCTATATATGACTTAGGTGTATAGGAGGGGGGACCAGATCCGGTAGGCAAATATAGTAAATATATTTAATGAACATTTGATAAATATTTTGACAACTATCAAAAGTGGATGCCAAAAAGACATAATATGGAAGAGTTTTGACGAATCAAAACACATCCATAAATTCTGATAAATAACACCCGATGGATTACATCATTTATAATACCCATTGATTGGTCCAAAAAATAAAAAATTAATTTCAGATATATCTTTCTGTCGAACCCATTTTAGGGATAGATTAGAAAAAAATTTTAAGTGCTCATTAAAGGTGCTTAAAATGTGATATGCCTACCTGATCCGAACGGGGCATATAAAGGGGATGGGGCCTCATAAATTGGACCACACCAGGTTTGTGAAGTGACGAGCTAGGCCCTCTGGCCTCTGCCCTCACAATCACATTCGGCGGTGCGGTGCGGTGCTTCCGATCATTCAACAGCACCGTCAAACATGTCTCCGACGTCATGATAAAGTGAGGAAGGAAGGATGTCTGGTGCACAAGCAAGTATACTATTTATTTTTCCGGCAAGAAAAATTTTAGTCCCTACTGTCCCAGATCCCAGTCCAGTAACAGTAGAAGGCACAACTTCATCCTATTATTAAATTAAAACCTGGGTGACTAAGAATTGACTAAAGCATCTTTACCCAATAAAAACCAAACCAAAATGACTAAACGACATATCAATGTGCCGACCAAGGACCAACTTAAACTGATGATAAACATGGAGAGTTGGGTAAGGCTGACGCCCGGGGGAGACGCATGCCTGATGTAAACACACCATATATAAAACCAGCTGCAACTGCTAGAAACTAGCTACGGCCGCGTTTTCATTCTGAGTACAATTAAATTACAATGTCACGTATCTGAGTTGGAGTTGACAGTTGAGGACGAGGGCGTGAAGTGTGTGTTCTCACATCTCTACCTACGATAAACATTAAATTACAGCTGAGAGAGATCCCTAATACACGATGGTCATGAACATGATTCTCTATGGATAAGGATGTAGCTAAGCTAGGAACAATTTGTGTGTAGCAAAGCAAATTAATCGGGAGTGGTGTGTGAATGTGATTGGTGAGTTAGCATCAACTAATAAATAATAATGAATGATGATATGGTTATATTTCTATTTTTATTAATAAAATTAGTTAGACGACTTCAATAGCTTTGGTATCATATTCATACAATGACTTTCCAAGTCTGGCCTGGACTTTTCTAACATGTCCAATTCCATTGGGTTGGTTTGTTTGTTTGTTTGTTTGTTTTGTGTATTCCTTGCACTTGCACCTACGATTACTGACTTTCTGCTTGGGCGAACCGCGAATGACCAAACGACGCTTATTAATGGAGAAATTCCACGCGCGTTTCCATTCAAATTAGAAATTACTGAATTAGTTCCCCACACGCAAAAAACGCTCACCTTGCTTTTTTAGTTCTTATCAGTTATATATACATATCATTCCCCTGGCCTTTGGTTGTATTGCTATTGTACAAGCCAAGCTTATTCCTGGGATTTGTCCAAGTTTACATGCTTCTTCATTATCCTTAGCAAGAGTAATTAAAATGTCGGTAATTAATTCAACTACACAAGAACCGGAAGTTACACTGCAAGTGAAGGACCCAACTTGCCTTGAACGAACCACTTTTAATTTCCAGATTATTTTGTACTACTAGATAGATTAGAAAGACCAGACCAGACCAGACCAGACCAGACCAGCTTCTTAATTCTTATCCACACCAGACCAGTCAAACATTACGCGGCCAACGCCTACACTACGCAACGCGGGTAGCCCGTCCCACTGGTGACTGGCCTCTCCATAACCCCTAAGCCTCCGCTACAACCAGCCAGTGACAGTGAGGCGGAGAGACCTTACCAAACTTAGCCAGTTGGCACCATCCAAACAACAAATATTTATTCACCGTCATCCAATCCGTCGACCATAATTAAAACGATTGGACACATAAAGATACACTTAAAAGTTAAAGCCGTCGCTCAGCAACATGGGCGACCGGACCGAGTCCACCTGGAGACTGAAGGCCCTGAACAGAGCTGGATGATCATCAGATCTAAGACCCAGCTAAGCACTTAGCAGCCTTGGTCCTTCCTTCACGCGATTACACCAAAAACACATGATATATATATATATATATGCACACTTAAGAAATTAGCTGGATATTGCTCAAGTTAATCACTTTGTGATGCTTCTCACGCGGCGGCTTCATTTTAGAGACTCCCTGGGGGCTGGGATAATTTACACCACATACACACATATATACTGTATTTGAAAGAAATACTTAATTTTAGAATAAATTAAATAAAAAAAAATTTGACCTTTCCAAACCAAGGGAGATTTTAGTCTTACAAAGAATGAAATTCTCTGTACAGAAACAATTTTTAACCCCACTAAAGATATTAAAAACTAAAAGAAATAACAAATAATGGGAGATCAAATCATCCATCTAATTTCTACTGATCTTGAGAACTAGTCTCGTCGGCCGGAATCAATAGACGCGGCTTCTTCATAGGCAGAGGACTCTCCACCTCTTCCTCGCCAAATATCTCGGATTTCTTTCCACCGACAGCGCCGTTGAATTCAGGCAAGGCCGGCAAATTCAGGTCGAAACCGCGGAGGCTGTGGCTCGGGGCAGCAGCGTCCGACGACAACGTGACACTGCTGTTGGTGTTACCACCATCGTAGTGACAGCGTTTGTGCCCACCCAAGGCTTGTCCGGTTGGAAAGGACTTGTGGCAAATAGAACACTCGTGGGTTCTTCCACCTGGATTGACTGTAGAGCTTGTAGTGGTGGTGGTGGTAGTGGAGGAGGAGGACTGGTCGTCGTTTCCAGTGAGCTTGCGGTGACTGGCCTTGTGCCCCCCAAGGGCTTGGTAGGAACCAAAGGCTTTGTTGCAGACGGTACACTTGTAATTGAGCTTCAACGCGGGCGGTGGGGGAGGAGGGGAGTGGATGCGGTGATTGGAGAGGGCACCGCCGCCGGAGATCGTAGCACCTGCACCGCCACGAGCGAGCATGATGAGGCAGAGAGCGAGATACTCTTCCTCGGTGGGTGGGTTCTCGAGACGAGGGCGCTTGGTCCGCTTGCGCTTGGCCCATGGCTCAAGACAGTGCAGGTCCATGTCGTCATAGTGGAGTGAAGGAGTTGCCGTTCTAGGTGAGTTGAGAGCTTCTAGAGCCATCTGATCTGGTCCTAGTCGAATTGCCAGACGAATTCAGAAGGATATACAGAGAGCAGAAAGCAGAGAGCAAAGGGAATTTTGGGGGATGGAGGAGGAGGAGGAGGAGGATGGGCAGTTGGTGTATTTGTTGAGTGTGAGAGTGAAGAGGGTGTAGTAGCCTTTTTAAGGAGTGGAAGTGGGGCTGCGTGTGGGACTGTGGGAGGAAGTTGCGTGTAGAGCGGTGGGAAGAATAGGAGGAGGGTACTGATCATATTAAAATAAATAAAAGGGGCGAAACTGCCAAAAGGAGATGGATGGATGCGATAACTCTCATTTTTGGAGTAGTTGAATTGTTGGAGAGTGAAGTCGGTCAACTCCAAGCTTCCAAGTGGAGTGGTGGAAGGGAGGTTGGAGCCTGGATGGGACTCCACTGTTAATATTTGAGTTATAGACTACTTCCATTCCATTTTCCAACTTCTTCCCCAAGTCAAAACAAACGCGCTCTTCTCCTTCAGTCCTTCTCCTCTCTGGTCCATTCTAACCTCCTCCCCACGCCGCCTTTGACAGCGGAGCAATGATTGGGTCATCCGCGGGTGGTATGACGTTGTCAAATAGATCCTCCTGGCGGATCAGAATGGTTGATAAATGCAATGACGTTTTTCTTAATATATACCATCTGTTTAATTCCGGACCAATCACATAGTTGGGACTTGGGAGTTCACAACCATTCTTCAACTATTAGATACACGTGGCTAATAATACGAGTATGTCATATGGGTGACTCAATCTTCCAACTTCCAAGTCGGATGGACTCTACATAGCGTGCTCACACATGCCCCACAGCACATCTCAACCCTATATTGCGAACATCTTACTACGGATCGAAGATGTTGATGTACATGTGGAGCCATTTCTGTGGGGAGCGGGGAGCCCATTTTGAACTCTCAATCCTCGTGTTATTAATCTTGGCCACTTCAGATTACATTCCTTCTGTGTATTGAAAACATCACCTGATGAAAATTATATTTACAGCATATATCAGTTGTACATTGAGAATATCTCTTGGACTTATTAATATTTATTGAAAATGTTTCTAATACAATACACGATGAGATGTGATTGTGAAATTGATTGTGAGGAGCGTTTTATGAGAAGAACTAGTGTATTCAGTTAATTCTTACTCCAAAGTCTAAACCACGAGTGACACTCGTGGGTGGGCTATGGGCTATGACACTTTCTTATATAGTTAAGCAACAATTTGGGTTCTCTTTCCCAACAAAACACGTCCCAACAATTTCAACATGATCTATTACACCACACATATGCATATCTTACTATGAGATGATCAGATTGGGATTCATCATATGTGAGATGTGCATTGTCAAATGATGATGTAAAATTTGCATCGACTTCCCACAGAGTATGCCCTACAGTGCACGGTGCGGAGTCAATCCAAGTTTCATTCAACCGAATCTCTACTTCGTTCCCACCTTTTTTTTCTTTTTCTTTTTTTTTATATAAAAACAAATTAATAATTAGGCCTCGTGTGTAAATTATCCCGAGAGGATGATGAGACTTCTGACTTTGATCCTGCTGCGACTGCGAGGCTTCGGTATTTTTAGGTTCGGTTGGCCCCCTAGGCTCTAGAAACTCATCCGGTCATGGTTTCAAACCTCCTGATCCTGGTTGTTACGAATTTTCTACACGTGTTATTTCCAGCAGAAAGCAGCACAACAGTAAAGACCACCGTGAAACGTAAGGGAAAATATCTAGAATTAGCGGTCCTGACGGATTTGGTTGCCACGTATACAAATAAAAGTATCATTTTCCTTCATTTGCCACAAGTGTAATTCACTTAGTGGATTACCAAATTAAATCCAAAGTTGGGGTTTATTACCTGAAACATTATGCCACCTAACACATACATTCATGGGCCCCATTAATTGGCGAACACCCCATAGACCATAGTGTGAGAAATTCCTCCGTGGCCCTTGGCCCTTGGCCCTTGTCCCTTGGGGAAAGCGTAGCCGTCGTCCGTTGGCGTTGCAAGGCCCGCAAGACCGATCTTCCTTGCTGTTTTGACAATTGGCAATATGGAATAATACAGTTGGTAGGTTCCTTCTGGAACATTGCTAACGATGGAGTGCTACGCAAGCAATTCATATGTAATTTTGGGTTGCCATGACAAACTTGCTTTCAAGCTTCAAACATTGATTATCACTAATGACTAATATGAAACGACTAGAAGAAAGGATGGAAGGGAGTCGGGGTGGTGTAGCATCAGAAATTTACGCTCCGTTTGATTCATATTCAGAATCAAAATCTTTAGGCTTAATTTGGAAAGAGGTAGGGCGCAAATCCATATAGTTTATACTATTTTGTATTTGCATTCTATATATTTGTGTTTATATTCCTTTCAAACTGAGTCTTATGAAATCAAAATTGATCGGAATTGAAATCAAATGATCTATTTCGGATTGACCATTATCGTAAATGGAAAAATATCATTCCAATAAGAATAGAATAGGATTTTCATTCCGTCCAACCACAACCAAATAGTAGGGGTATTCATCGAAAATTGGAAAATCAAACTGAAAAATCTGATTAATCGAACCAGAGGTGGATGTTTTGGAAAAACTGAAGGTATTGACTTGATTTTGATTAATCAATATAAAATACCAACAGTTAATCAAATTGACCAGTATATATGCGTACATATTATATATTTATAATATATAACATACTATATTTCTTATATTTATGTTTATATTTATATTTATATATTTATTAACAATATGTATTATAAATTCAAAAAAAAACAAAGTACAAACCGGTCAAAAACAAAACCAATTAACCAATTGGTTTCGTTTCGGTTTTGATTTTCAATTTTTCAAAAACCAAAAGACCAATTCAATTTAAAAAAAAAAAAAGGCCCATAACCAAACCGTAAGATTTAGAAAAAGGGCCCATGACCTAATTGGTTCCCGGATGGCGGTATTTTTCAGGTAACGTTTTCCTAAGAGTACCATATGATGTTGAATTCTTCTTCACCGGATGGCGGTAGCTCAGTAAGCCACCCACCGCGCTCCATGATTCTTTATCTCATTTATTATCATGTGATCATCTTTCATCTTAAATCCCATGCAATTGGGTTGATCGAAAACTAAAGGGCTGCGCTCTCCCTTTGATGGAGAACCATTACCTTAGAGTTTAGAAATTACAATTGGGTGGGCTTATGTTACCAATGCCGCTGGACCAGATGTCGCATGCAGAATTTATTTGACCACCAGTTCCCGGGTCAAATGATCTGATTGCTGTCTGATCCGAACCCTTGTCAAATGATATTTTGGTCCAACACCAAACCCAGAATCATAACCTGTTTCCGGATCAAACTGTCCGATCGAAAAGGAGGCGGAAGGCGGCAGGGGAGACGATCCAGGGTTGATATAAATTTGGTTAAGAATAGTTGGTTGGTTGCTCACCTACTCCAAAGTCTTACAACTCTTTAAACTAAGACTTTGGAGGGGGAGTATAGTCTACATCCCTTAAACTAAATTAACAACCGATACATAATTGAAGGTAGGTGGGGCGCAAACATACGTCAAAGTCCGCGATTTCACTGAGGACCTAGTGGCAAAAGTGGATTGTTTTCATCTTACAATTTGCCCACGTGTATCATGCGCCCCAATGTCTATTCAATGGAAATTCACATCAAGCGTGATGTTTCCAATACAAGGTCGAGATGTGCTTGGCACATTTATGAGGCGCCTATGTGCATTCCAATCTTTCAACCATTCTTTTTAAGTTGAAATTTATACAATGAATGGATGATACTGTGAATTATCTTGTCCCTACCACTCTACATCAGCTCTATTTTATACACGTGTATGTTTAGATTCGACGGAGCCGTTTTGAGTCCTCAAAATATTGCCACGTGTAACAATATTTCCAATCGTTTAGAATTCAGATGGCTTTAATTTATACACGTGTAACAGTCAACCTTCTATTTGTCTCTAATATTTTTTAAAGAATCCCTATCATTTAATAAATTGATTAACTCTATCCTTATTTTTCATATATTATTTTAAATAATTTTTATGTTTTCTAATAATTGCCTAAAACTTTTTTTACGATTAATTTTTCCTCACATATAACATCACGTGATTGATATATGATTATGTGCAATCTAGAAGTTACTAGCTGAAATATGACCTGTATTTTAGTCACATGGCGAACTGGATCAAGTTGTAAAACAGAGGATCAAAGAACCCGGGGTGGCTAACTCGGATAAGTCACTCTGATGCTTAAGTCAGTAATGTATTATGGTTGTGAGTTGAAAGTTTGAGTACTAGAATGCTAGTGAGCAAATAATCGCATGTACATGAGTCTTGGGGATTGATGCCCTTATACAGTTGGAATGCCATGGGTCTCACGAAACGCTCCCAGAATCTCTGGCTCGTGACGTAGGGATCAGTTCTGCTTTGGAAGGTGGGTAACGTACCAATTAATAAGGCTCACTGTTTCCTTCTGATTCGGGTGGTATGAGGATAAAGCCTACAGTTACGCAGCGTGATTCCAAGAAGTTCAAAGATGACTGGCGAACTTCTAGGTTCAGTTATGTAGCACCTCAATGCACATGGGTACCGAGGTGCCCCAATTCCAAAGTGCTCCGATTCCGAAGTCACCAAGCTCCCGAGGTCCTACGATCTGCCATCGTGGCACTACACGTTGACCTGTCGTCTGGCTGGCAGGCCGCACTCACATATCCCTTACTCATTAAGTCGGGCCAAATCACCCCTCATCAATATATTTTTCAAAAATTCTTAAAATACTCAAATTTTCTAACTCCACTCCATCCCCATCTCTGTTTGCCTTACCAGCATCATTCCAATCACACACACCCCGTAGTATAGAATGAACTAAGTAGTAAGTACAATTAGAAACCTGGTTGCAGGCTAGCTTGTCGACATCACTTTAGTGGTTGCTCGAAGTCACTTGCTATATACCACCTCTGTTCCAATTTAAGAAGGAAATTCAGCCAAGCAGAAGAGAAGGGAGGGAGAGGAACCACCCTCCCCTTACTTCTTTAGCAGGCAATTAAGCAAAGAGTTTTTCTTTTCTCGCATCATTTTATGCTCCATTTCACATCTAAAGTCGCA